GTCTATATTAGAGGTTGATTTGTTACCTGATTTGCATACCAGGTCTGTAAGAATGTGCTGAAGATTCGCCTTGAAGCATACTGGAAGTGATTATTGTGCCGAAAATACACGTGCGAACATATGTTACATCTTATTGCAAGTAATAATAACAAATATAAAGAGAATTGTTTGGTGATTTATTTATTTATTTTACCAATCTTTCTCTGGTTTTTATTCATTCTAAATATGTTTGCTAATATACAGATTTCTGTAATGGGATTATTGTTAAATGATGTTTTCATGTTACGAGAATTTCTGGGTGGTTTTATAATCTTTTTTACATTAAGTTGTGTCTTCTATGTAAAGATTCTGCACGTGCCTATAATCTCAAGCTGTAAGCTAACATATTTTTAGTAATATAAAAAAGGATAAAGCGAGTTTGCAGTGCTGAAATGAAACTTAAGAATTTTTTAGAAAAGTTGTCCAGAACATAAGTTTGTAAAGAAATACAGACCAGGTTACACCCTACTGTTCTTGGGCCTTATTCTCGAAACCTTAAGTAAGATTTAATCCAGACCATGTATTCTCAAAACGATCTTAGCGTTAGAATATCCTAGAATCAATGTTAGAAGATAACAACGTAGGACATCCTAGCACAAAGATCTTTTCGAGAAAAAGCCGCCAGATATTAAGAAATAAAGTAATCTGATTGGATGAATTAGTTAATTTAAAATTTGTTTTAGTGATTGACAATAAAGAACACTAAAATCATCTTTCATAAGTTTTAATAATAAGGCCCCAAAACAGTAGGGTAAATAGTTTACCTATTGAATAGACAGGGTGTTAACTAATAATGAAGAATTTGGTAGACTGAGTGTTTTCAGCTTACTAATAATGATATAATACATAGAACCAACCAACAGTTATCAAGTTATCATCGTGAAAATCTTAACCATCATCAAAAACTGAAGTTGAGATTTAAAAATATGAATCAAAAAACAACTTGTGTTGAAAATGTAAACAAATTGAATCAAAAAGATCTGGAAATTCAACTCCATTTTATCAGAAGATGAATTGAAAGAAACATGGCGAAAAAAAATTCTGCAAACAGAACTTGAGTTTTGAGACGTGTGCTTGAATTATGATGAATATTTTTTTTACCTCAGTTCTATTTTGTCAGGGTGACATGAGATTAATAATTTATTTTTCTGAGATCTGCCGACTGTATTCAGACTATTTGGACTAATCAGGGCTTTGGTTTTGGTTCTATTTGCCAGACATGTTCATCAGGGCAGCTCAAATGTCAATGGATCACAAGTCTCTGTTGTCATTGATATGGTTTGATTCCTGTCTGCAGATTTATAACTTTATATTTCATAGTCTATTCAGGGCTGTTGGTTTGGTTCTACTTGCCAGGGCAGCTGAAATGTCCAAGAATCATGTACCTCTGTTGGACATCAAGTATACTAGGTTAGACATTAAGTATCATTGAAGTCAATCAAAATCTGAATTTTGAAGTTTACTTATTACCTTTGTTGTTCTATAAAAAGTTATTCAATTAGCACAATTTGTTGGACAAAATGTCATTTGAAATTATTGTGTATGTAACATGTATTGACGAAGGCAACTAGACGTGACTGACAAAACCTTCTGTAAAATCAGCTATTGTGTGTAAGTTGCATTTCCAGGTTTAAGGCAAGTAGTTACAGAAAAATAGAAGAATTTGAGCTATATGATTTTTGCGAGCTCTTGAAAATGATGCTGACAGATCCTGACTATGAGTGACATATGGTGCTGTAGAATGAGCAAATTCATAAATGTTGCCATATCAACAGCTTTGACATGGTAACCAGAACATCATGGAAGCTTGGAATATTTTCTGAGATAACATTTCTGCATATTTCATAAATATTTATGATGACACTGACAGGTGTAGAGCCAGGGATAAAAACCAACGTGTTATAAAAATATTCTGCTAATTTTTGTTTTTAAAACTGGAAGTCTGCTGATAAAGAAACATAAAGAGAAAATGAAAATATGGTACTGCATTCCTGATAGTGGAAAATGATGATCTCTAACTTTTTACACCCTCTAGTTAGGCTTATGATATTTTAGCTGTATGCTTACTCTTCTAGACACCTGACAACACTTTTCATTATGAAATACTTACTCACTTATGATTGATATACACCACACGTAAAAAGTTCATTAGCTGCTACCAATGTTTCGTCAAAATGTTGGTTTGGATTTCTGGTTTTGTTTTGCAGTTTGGATCGTTAGTACTTGGTTTATTTATTATTGTAACTCGTTATCATCCTCTTTGTTTGTCAGTTTTCACATTTTGGATTCTTGGTACCCCTTTTGTAGATTAAGAGGCTTCTTTTACACTATCTCCTGCCATAAGCAATCTTTCATCCCTTACACCCTCTTGTTTGGCTTCTTCATACATGAGTTTTTAAAAAATTTTGAATTTTTGGTACACATTTAGTATCCCAATACCTAAAACACATTAAAAAAAAGTGAAGATTTTGATCAAAAATTGCATGTATTTGATAGGAATTTTTGATCCTAAGGCTGATATTAAACTCGACTATTCAAAAATTGTCTCAGAGGCCTTTTGGGTAGGCTATGCCTTGTTGTCGCTGCCTAGTTGATAAACACTGGCGAATTTTGAAACTTGCAAGCTTATTATTAGACATTATATTGAAATAGAAAGTGAAATTTCTAGTTTGAGCTGTGAAATAGTGACTAAGTTGAAGTCTTTTCTTATAAAAGAATCCTATTATTATTAAATTTAGCTGTAATATCTGGGAGATTTAGACATATGTAAATAATTAAGAAATATATTTATATCGTCATGGTAACATGTATATTTTTGATAATCTCAGTTTGATATCAGAAATTTGTTACCAAAAATATATTTTCTTAGCAATATTTTTTGGGTTTGGCAATAATTTTTAAATTTTGGCAGAAAACACTTAATTAGAGAAGTTAACTAAATTTAGGCCCTTTGCGCAACTTTCTTAAATTTTTTAATTTTGAAAATTTTGAAAGGAGAAGGTAAGGTAATTGTCTGAAAAACTTTTTATTTATTTAAGTGAGTATTGCGTGACTTTTCTTGTTTTTTTATTAAGAGTTCAGCTCTCCTGCTAGTGCTATGTTGTCTAAATTGTCTTGGAATTCAGGGCATGCTTTGTATCTTTGAAGTTTTCATGCAATGTTGCTCTCTCAGTCTTATAGATTTTATCTCAGAATCTGAGTATTTTGGAATCAAATTTTATTATTTGTCATTTCCGATACAAAATCTGCAAAAAATAATGTAATAAATTTGATATAGAAAATACCAGATCATAAAAATAATAAAAACAGTTTTTTCACCTGGACTACACCTGAGAGTTAACGAGTTTTACCTGACGTCTGATGAGTTTTATATCAAAATTCAGGTGGGAGAAAAATTAATTTTCTCAGGTGTTGAAGTAGATTGGCACCTCATCAACACTGAAGTGTTTTGAAGGATCTACCAGTAGAAAACTTTGAGTGAATGAATGGGTTTCAAGGATATAGTTATTTTAAAGGGTTTGTCCAATGGTATAATCTTAGTCTCAGAAGCAGGAATATTTTAGCTAAGCCAATCAGAATAGTGTTGACAACTCACTGTAGAAATTTGGGCCGTCATATGTATGTCCAGATAGGTTAACATTTGAACTGATACAAATTTTTCAGAAAAAAAATTCATTTGAAATTGACTTTTAATAATTAACCTATTTTACAAGGATAACAACTCAAGTTCATAAAGATCCTGTCTACCTTACAATTACTAAATGCTTTTCACAGACTTTGATATTTTTTATGTAAATGGAAATATTGACTCTGAATATAAACAACATTCAGATAATTTCCTCAGAACACGCGCCAACTTCAGTACATTGAATACAGAGGTCTGGGAAATTCTGACCGAACAGATGCCAAATCCAGTACGATTCACCTAGATCTTTTACTAGTATTGGCAGACGATTGTCAACATCACCGTGGATTCAACCAGACCTACCAGTCGGCTCGAAAAACACCTGCAGGGGAATTCTATGAATATTTCCTTACATGTCTCCAAATCTGGCGGCAAGATGTGTAAATACGTCTGCCTCCCAACGACCTTTGATGTCTGTTAAGGTCAAATCTTTGCGAAAAACAAAATAAAGACGAAATTATAAGTTCGATAGATGTTAAATATCAAATGAGATGCGATATGTTTTTGTTAAATTTTTTTTCTCAGACTTTCCTTAGGGTGTTTCCATCAACAAGTATTCTCATGCTGCCTTCCAGTCACTATATGTCACAGCACAGCCAAAACACGTGCATGCAGGCTCAGTGTTAAAGTTAAGCTGTTGACAACTGTATACAGGGTTACCTCATAGCAACATTACTGCTCTCAAGGCAGTATATTTCATTGCGCATACTGTTTCCTTTGGGGGTCTCCGTTACCATGTTGTCTTCCTTCAAAATATTTCATTGAGAAAGACAAGGAAAACATGAATCAAAATTGATTTATTTGAAAATGGTGTTTTTGTGATCTAACACAGCCCCAGCTGTTAGTAGCCCTCCAGATCATTTGTACTTTATGCACATGCAGTACCTACTTCAGTCTTACACAAATATTATCAAAACATGTGCATGCACTCAAAATATAAAAAAACACATGCATGTTTTATCAATGTGTTCTGATTATATATTAAAAACCTTTCAAGCAACTCTTATTTCTCTAGTAGCTTATTGAACATGATAAATATGACATATCAAAACATACACATAAACACGCATGCACATGCAAATTATCTCAGTATGTTATGGCAATTATTAAATTAAGAAATGAAGTATCAGGTATAAACCTGAAGTAAGATTTGTTATTTTTTTTGTATATGCCGTATCTTGATGAAGAATGATGTTTTTATGCCTGAAAATTCCTACTTTTTTTCATACTTCCGTTTCAACATGAAATTTATGTTTTTTATTTCTGTGTTTTTCAGTCACATGTGGTAGCAGCGTTTGAGCAGTCGTTGTCTAATATGACAGCACGTCTACAAGCCTTAACATTTACTGCTGAACAGAAGGTAAGAACCATTATTTATTTTCTGAAACAAATATATTAAAATATAATATCTTAGTTAGGTAGAATTAGATACAAACTTAATCTTTTTCAAAAGATTTAAATGCATATGAGAGTCATATAAAAAGGAATACCATTATTTATATCCTGGAAAATTTCACCTGTGCACATAGGAAGTGTATTAATCTAGTTAATCTATCAATGACTAAGAAGAACCAAATTGATTGAGCCACTTAAGAAAAACGTTTTTGAGAAGCAGGGACCAGATTACTAGAAAACATTGACCATATCAACGTTACTTGATTTGATATGAAGTTATGATCCAGTCTTATTAAAATTAGACCAATCTTTCATTGCATTTTTTATTAGCTTTTATTTTTAATGGAGCCACTTCAGTTAGGGTCTAAGGACGAGTCTCATGAGCAATCGTCAAAATAACCTTTTGACCTAACCCTGCTTTAACCAAATCAAATTTCTGCCCTCGTCATTTTATTCGAATTTGAAGCAATTTGATTGGTCAAAGCAGATTAGGTCAAAAGGTTATTTTGATGAATGTTTAAGAGGCCAGTCTTTAGACCCTAACTGAAGTGGCTCTATTAGAAATAAAAGCTAATGAAAGAGAATGGAAAGAAATTAATATATATGATACAAATGGAGATAGACATTTAAATTAATTAATTAACTGAATTCTAATCTATTCATGTGTTTGGTTTGTTTATTTATAAGTTATATTCCTATAGCAACAATCCTGATATCTTAATTCTATAGCCAAACTTTTAAATCTATGGAGAAATGCACCATATGGACAAATTTTTCACCTTGGCTTATCAATTTACTTATTTTCTTCCATAAGATTTCTGAATAGTTATCAATTTTCAACTTCAACATCATTTTTGACTCATCAATTTTGAGTTCCCAGTCTAACTTATTTTTGGGTTTATTTTTTTCTACCAGATAAGAGATAAAATTATGATGAAGAGTAAGATTGTATATTTTGTTTTCTGGTGAATGTTTTTGAGACGCGGCTCACCAGCTTTCAACATATGTTCTATATCCTTGGCTAGATTTCTTTTGATAAAATATTTGCAGGAATATTTTCTTATGAAATTTTGTTGTTTTGTAATTAGAGTTATTATTTATAGTCCTACTATGAATGTTAGTACTCTTTCCATGTTATTAGATAATGAGCCAATTTTGAGCTTTTCCATATTTAACATAAAAATTGGAAATGGACTTGACTGCATTTTAAATGGTTGTAAAGAAGTTTTCTAAACTTTTTATTTGTATCGGGGACACTGATAGCTTCAGTTTGCACCATTACAATTTTCAGACGTCAGACGTCAGTTGCTGTGGTTCCTGGATTATAACTAAGCGTTTTATGACATCACTATTGCAAAAGGTTTTATGTTTTATGATATAAGTCGATTAAAAAACCTCTTTATAATCCCTTTAATATGAATACATAATCACTTGAAAATAATTGGAATTTATTTGATTTTGAAATAAAAATATATCATTGCCAAATTGCCTTCAGATACGTTTAAAATTGGAAGTGTTAATTTCCAAACTTTAAATATTATTTATGACACCTAGTGTTATGATATAATAACACCAGATGGTTTCTGTCTGAAATTTTAAGAGTTTGTAAACAACAGTTAAACTTTGTTATTCTTTCAAATTTATCAAATATCTTGTAACTTGTAAGGAAAACAGACTGAAATGTATTACACCTATTGAAACAGATATCACTAATTCACTAAATTAGAAAACTTGATTCAAATTTACTCATAGTGAAGAAAAAAACTTGTGAAATACTAAATTGAATTTGACATCAAGTGGAATACCTTAAAGCTCTCTGTGACTGGATTTGTCGTATCCAAACATCCTATATCAGAGAGCTGAAATAGCTAATAGTATTGTTTCTTGATAAATACAATTAAAACTGGAAAAATGTTTGTAAGGTGTATGCAAGATTCTTGTGTGCAGACTAAAAGCTGTTAATACACTTCAAAGGAAAATATATGCAATTGTAAATTTGTAATTTTGTAATGTTAAGTAAGATAACAGTCGAAAAGATCTCAATCGTTACATAAGTTTATTCTCATATAGACAGCAAAAAATTTAATACCTATATTCAAGAACAAAGACTGCACTGTAGAAAAGATGCAATTGATAAAAGTACAAGAATTTGCAGTACTAAATAAATTAAATAATGACAGTGCTATATAAATAATGACAGTGCTATATAAATAATGACAGTGCTATATAAATAATGACAGTGCTATATAAATAATGACAGTGCTATATAAATAATGACAGTGCTATATAGATAATGACAGTGCTATATAAATAATGACAGTGCTATATAAATAATGACAGTGCTATATAGATAATGACAGTGCTATATAAATAATGACAGTGCTATATAGATAATGACAGTGCTATATAAATAATGACAGTGCTATATAAAAAATGACAGTGCTATATAAATAATGACAGTGCTATATAGATGATGACAGTGCTATATAAATAATGACAGTGCTATATAAAAAATGACAGTGCTATATAAATAATGACAGTGCTATATAAATATTGACAGTGCTATATAAATATTGACAGTGCTATATAGATAATGACAGTGCTATATAGATAATGACAGTGCTATATAAATAATGACAGTGCTATATAAAAAATGACAGTGCTATATAAATAATGACAGTGCTATATAGATAATGACAGTGCTATATAAATATTGACAGTGCTATATAGATAATGACAGTGCTATATAAATATTAACAGTGCTATATAGATAATGACAATGCTATATAGATAATGACAGTGCTATATAAATATTGACAGTGCTATATAAATATTGACAGTGCTATATAGATAATGACAGTGCTATATAAATAATGACAGTGCTATATAAATATTGACAGTGCTATATAGATAATGACAGTGCTATATAGATAATGACAGTGCTATATAAATAATGACAGTGCTATATAAATATTGACAGTGCTATATAGATAATGACAGTGCTATATAAATAATGAAAGTGCTATATATAAAATGACAGTGCTATATAAATAATGACAGTGCTATATAGATAATGACAGTGCTATATAAATAATGACAGTGCTATATAAATAATGACAGTGCTATATAAATAATGACAGTGCTATATAAATAATGACAGTGCTATATAAATAATGACAGTGCTATATAGATAATGACAGTGCTATATAAATAATGACAGTGCTATATAGATAATGACAGTGCTATATAAATAATGACAGTGCTATATAAATAATGACAGTGCTATATAAATAATGACAGTGCTATATAAATAATGACAGTGCTATATAAATAATGACAGTGCTATATAGATAATGACAGTGCTATATAAATAATGACAGTGCTATATAAATAATGACAGTGCTATATAAATAATGACTAAAGTGCTAAAGTGTTTGATGATGTCACTTGTCACAAAATATGCTTTATCATGATTGTGAGGCCCTTCGCAATAAGTGATGTCATAAAATACTTAGTTTTAGTAGAATTGCAGAAACCTAAGATGTCTGGTTGAAATTGGAATGGTGCAAATTGATGCTATTAGTGTCCCCAATACAAAATGAACAAAAGCTCTTTACAATCCCTAGTATGTGCACTGCAAATGGATGACAAAGTTAAAGGACTTGTGTTAAAAAAATAACGTATTCTTGGCATATGGTAGAAGATTCCTGCCAATTTAAGGGATGTTCTAGAAAGCAATTAATTATGCTTCCTCTACAGAATTGCTGTTCTGACAAGAAGTCTCGCTGTTTAATGCGAGTTACTGTGAAATTTTTGGCAAAATTTATTCTGATGAATATTTAAAATGGGTTATTGTACTCTTTAGAGCCAAGAAGTAATTTATAAAAGGTGTTTTGGTATCGATTACATGAAATATGCTTTTGTAATTTCATTTGTTAAGTTGTCTCCCTTGAGAATATAACTAATGTATATTCCATTTTGGCCACATACGAAGTAACGTTGAAAAGATGATTTTGTATCAATTTCCTTCAAGTAGTGTTTTTGTGATTTATTTTCCAAGAGTTACCTCCCTTGAGAGGAGTTTTCTGTTTTGAAAGTAAAAAGAAATCCTGATTAAAGAATGGTGTATATTAGATCATGGCGTATCTTGATGATATAGCGTAACAAATTGGAAGTGAGGCTGTTATTTTATTTACGTGTGTAAACACGATATTTCTATAGTTACACCTGTTACTAAATTCTAACTAGAAGTGTTTCTATGGTAATTTACGCAAAAAAAAGTTTTTTTCGATCTTGGAATTAGTGTGATAGATCATTTCTTTTATTGGATGATGTGCTTTGTGTAGCACGTATACATGCAGGTAAATTTCACTTGCAGTCATTATAGCTGACAGATAGGGTTGGTCTAGGGCTGCAACGATTCTTGAAGTTGCGATTGGATACACTATACAATACTCATCAACGATACGATTTATTGCGATAATTATCGCGATTCATTTATTAGAGAAGGAAGGAGAAAAAATAGTAGAAATTTGTAGAATTACTAACCAGTTTGTCACTATTAAGCCCTTGAGAACATTTAGAAGTAAGGAATTGTGAAAAAAATCTCAATTTTTAAGGTCAGAAATAAATGATTGCAAATTTTGATGTGAGAATCATACTTGGAAAATGAATACATGACACAATTTCTTATACACATCAGGATTCTGTATCATTTGTTATCATGCCGATACATCACGATTATTTTTATGCAACGCAATGCAAGGAAAGAATTATGGTTCATTGATTCATTGGTGAATCGTTGCAGCCCTAAGGCTACAAATTGATATATCTATATATACCCTGAATACAAGAAAATCAGATAGTTTCATGGAAAAAAAGGCTTTTGAGGTGAAAGTCCTGTCATGATTGACTGTGAGCAATATGTCACAAAGTGTTCTAAAGGATCCTTTTAAAAGCTTACTTATATATATTCAAGCCTATTAAAATATGCAAATCTGGATAATATACTCCTTCATTCATTCAGACCTGCATTTTAATCAGAATGACTTATTTTCAATTTCTCTCCAAACTTCTTGTTATTAAATGAAAGAAGAATTGCAGAAAATGTTCTTCACAATCCAATTCTTGATCAAATTCCAACCATTATTGTTAATCATTCAAGCATCCAACAAACCTGGTGGTGTGTAAAAGTTGATGTGTTTTTGATTCAAGAATCGAACTCTGATATTTTCGTTAGAGTCTGAATTGTAATTGAGTTATGTCCCCTGACATTACCATTTATTCAATTGGCTGAAAAACTTTTTGTGGCTTAACAATTGTATATATAAATAATCCAAGTACTAACGATCCAAACCACAAAACAGAACCTTAAATCCAGAACAATTGGCAAACAATTGTAGCAGCTAATGAGTTTTTCTTGAAGAAGTAAATCAAATTATTAATGTTGCTTGAGGATCACAAATAAACCAACTACTGACAATCTGAATCGTAAAACAAAACCTTCATCCCAAAACAGCATTTTGGCGATCATCAGTAGCAACTAATGAATTTTTTATATAACATTAAACATAAAAAAAGAAAATTCTAAATTTCTTTGGAAAATTTTTTGAAAAACAGTTTTGTGTATTATGCAGATAGATCTCATGTGTTAATAACTTAAAGTTTTTGTGAACATATTTACATTCACCAGAAATTTACGAAACAGAATGAAATTGTTGTCTTTATGGCAATGAGGACAAACAGCTTTGTGTATTTTGCCAACAGATTTTAATCTCGAGTAAAAAAGTATAAATTTATAGAAATAACCGTGGTACGACTCATACATGCTTTACAAATAGTCATATGTACGAATTTCTTGTCTTTCTAAAATAACGAGGAACATCTTTGTGTATCTTGCCAAGAGATGATTATCTCGCGTAAAAAATTCTAATTTTGTGAAAGCAATGAAGTAAATCTATTAGTACGTATTTAATATATTTATTTTCAAAATAAAGATAACATCAGAATATAGTTCTATGTCAACACCTACTCTAGTTCTGTTTGATTCAGCTATAACAAATACCTAATGATCTTTTGTAGACAACTGAAAAGGCAGAGCTAAAGTCGCCCGCACACAGAGAGAAAATGGCACAGCGCCAACTAGTAGCGCTTCGTATGCGGGTAATTTTTGGTGTGCATTTGGCCACTGGTGGTCGTGTGGAAAATATCTATCGTGGTTGATATTTTGACCACTCGTGGCCGAGGGCACACCGTGTGCAGGTAACCATGCGTGACTTTCTCAGACGACGAACACAACGCTCTTGCGTTATTAGTACATGCGTGACTATCACTGTAGTTCTGTTTGATTGTCTATTACCAATACCAAATGATCTTTTGTTCTTATTGGATCAACATGACTCTTTAAAGGATATCAAAATGACAACTGAAAATGTAGAGCTAAGAGCAGATATTCATTGTATTGTATTGAGTTTTTAAATGAGTATATAGTTTGTGTAAAAGATTGAAACCTTCTGAACAGCCGATTTTTGTGATGAGCCATTTTTGTGAACTCTCTGCTAAAAAACGAAAATAAAGTCTGATTTTTTTTAAAAATCAGCAAGCTTTTGACTATTTTCAAAGATGGAGATCTTTTAATCTTATAGATCAGATGGGCAAAGTGATTAGACCATTCTACTCACCAATAGAAAAGGATTGTTAAAATCTCTATTTTTCTGTCAATAAAAAGTGTAGATTGAGAGCATTAAAAAATTGTAAAATCCCAAACTAAGTGAGTTTTGGACAATCTTCACAAGAAATGGCAACAGTTAAAAAAAAATTTTACTTATTCTAAACTCATTGATAAAATTAGTCAAGGAAAAAGTTTTCGAATTTTTTAAATACCGGACTTTTTTGAGATTCAGACAAATCTCATGATAAGTTTAGCCACTAATTTAAACTTCTGTAACCTTATTGATCAGATTAGCTAAGTATTAAGATCGTTCTATTCAGAACGAGAACGAGAGAGATAAGATGATATTTGCCGATATTCTACAGACTATTATCATGGGATAGCTAATTGGTTATTATAATAATGGACTTGGAGATTGATGTAACTGACACTGTTGAGTTTTCATGTTTATTTTCTGTGATCTCTCAATAGATCAGTCAGGGTCTAACTATTATAGGTTTTTCTAGTTTTTCTAGTTTTTCGCTTTTTTACTGTTGTTAGGTCTTTGACTGTTGCAAGGTCTTAGCATATTACATTCTTTTGTGGAAATGTTGGTTTTCTAGATTTTAGATCTTTGACTGTTGTTTGGTGTTTGAATATTAGTTAATTTAAACTTCTAAACTTTTGTTATATGTGCTCCTCGCTTCTACATGTCGTTCAAATCTTAAATCTAAACTTCTGTTTTTATGTTGATTTTCTGGATTTTTGGCTTTTAACGAAAAACCCCGGTTTTTCAGATTGAGTTCTAGAATTGTATAGATAGGATACTAGTATAACTAGTTTTCTATGGGGGTAGAAATTATCTACTATTGCTCAATTTTCTATATAGGTTTATCTAGATTGTATGTAGGATTACCCTGGTTTTTCTGATGGAGTTACTTATTGTGTCAATTACCTCGTTTAAAACCCTAGTATCACCATCATAGTAAGCTAGGATACTAAGTTTCTCTGGTAACAAGAATTTGGTAAGCTAGTATAATATTATTCTCGTCTATGGAAGGCAAGGCTGGTATTTTTCTCCAGTATGATAAGTCGAATTTGATAATGTGGGATTAGTTTCTTATTTATATTCAAACTTCTTGACCAGTTCAAATTATCTTGGACTTGTAGTCTTGGAGTTGATTTCTGAGGGAGTCTTACTTAATCTTGCAATTGTGTTGTCCTTTCATTTTGAAAAATGGAGACAGATCAGCCTTAACATGTGATGTATGTAAACTTTCAGTGCTAAAATTTTAATATTTTGTTGATATATATGTCTTTTGACTTCATTTGTATTTCACAGTTTTGAGATTCATATAAGTTTTCTCCATGTGATTTGAATATTTTCAAAGAGCCTATAAGAATGTCCAGAAGTGTCTGTTAGAAATTTACTACAAGTAAGAGCCATTTGTCTAATTCCTGTTTGTCTGTTTTATTGCTCTTGTCAAATTTCAGTTAATAACAACCCTAAAACTTGCTTCTGAAAGACGGCCTTTCACCCCTAATACCTAAAACTTGCACATCAAATCAAAGATTTGAAATATTTGTGGAAAATTAATGAAAACTGTAAGTCCAGATGTGTAATGTTAGTTATTTTATTAGAATATTAAAAACATTCAGTAGATATTTATCAAAGTTCAGACATATTTATGAGAAACCTGAGTTAATTTGGTTTACAAGGTCAAGAATCTGGTACAGAATAATTCACCAGAATATCTTCCATTTTCTTTGTTCACAGCCGTGACAGATTCTGCAGTGAACGCAAATATTTAAAATTCTTCAGGGCATATTAAACGCCATTTAAAATTTAAGCATATGGTGAAATTGAACTGAATTATTTATTATTACGAATTTGACAGACGTCTGCAAAATTTGCTGTTTGAAGGTTTGACAAGGACAAAACTTGTGTGTTTGGTGCCATTTTCCTATGAGTTTATTTTTCTGGTTTCTGTAGAGATATGTCCTGGCTACATATGCTCGAAACTATCTTAGCGGTAGGATATCCTAGAAACAGTGTTAGATGGTGATGAGAACATAGTCTCATGAAAGCACTGGCCTAGGTCACACAGTGTTAGAAGTAAAGACACTAGAACATCCTAACGCTAAGATGGTTTCAAGAATACTCGGCCTGTAATTTATTTTTCTAGTCTTAGTTCATGTATGTCCTACATTGAAAGCTCATTTAAAGGTATTAAAGATTCATTTGGTCCTTTTAAAAGATGAAGAATGTGCTGATAATTTATGATCATGATAAACTTCATTCATGTGTGTTCTTTAGAAGAATCTGCTTTTTGATAGCCATTCCTTTAAATTGATATTGACTTTGTACTGAAGATTTTATGAAAATGGCCTTATGTAAGTCTTTTGATGATTGCCAGATTGGAAATTAGAAAATTATTTTCCTAATCTTCATGTATCTTTCCAGCACTGTGAATAAGATAAGGGTTTGAATCAACTATACATTCTAATGCACAAATTGTATCTTAGCATTTGACAGACATTGAATGCCATGGCTAAAATGGCTAAAATATACTTGTATCCCATAGAGGATATTGAATGTCTGTCATTTGAGCTGCCCTGTCCGTCATGTCTAAATAGAGCAAAAAAAATACCAGCACTTGTTTTGAATGATTTTCAAATATAATCTACATATATATTTTTTTAGGTTTTTTCTGGATCTCATTCAGGAATTTCAATGATATGGTGTGAGTGGAAATATTGTTTGAAAATTTAATTTTTATTTTGATATCTTTCCAGGACTCTGAATTAAATGAACTGAGATATACAATAGAAGCATTAAAAAGACAGAGTGGAATATCTGTAGAGGAGGTGATCAGTCCTAACCCCAGCAGACGTCACACTTCACCTGGTGTTCCTCCTAAAGATGGTCAACCCAGACACCCCCACCAGAGACATGGTGAGTTCTCTCAATAGCTAGCCCTGACACCCTCTGTTACTTAAATCTTTTTAATATCCATGATGTTACACAATTTTTGGGCCCTTATCAAGTGAGATTTGACGGACAATGCATTGCGAGAAGTTTCAAAAAATCATTACATCTGTATTAGTAGAGTTCATCTCGTTTCTAGTATGTCATGGGACTCTGGTTTAATATTCTCATCTAAAAAACTATAACTCCAGTTGCATGCGTAGTGATTAGACTGAAAGGGATTGAAAAGAGGTTTTCTGAATACTTCATATATAAAGAGAACACTGATAGCATCAATATGCACCATTCTAATTTTCAATCAGACATCTGTTGTTCCTGCAATTCAACTAAAACTAGTATTTTATGACGTCACTAGTCGCAATATACTTAAAAATATCACATAAGGCCCTTCATGATAAGGGACTACATCAAACACTACATTCTAGTGGAATTGCAGGAACCACAGACGACTGACTGAAAATTGGAATGGTGCAAATTGGTGATATCAGAGTCCCTGATACACACTAAAATTGTTGGAAGCCTCTTTACAATCCCTTTAATGTACGTGATGTTATGGATATTAGAGTGGATTGTACGGAAGTTACCCTAACATTTTGAGTATGGAGGCATATTTCCAATTTTCTGTTTGATATCTGTTTTATCAATATTATACAAATGTTTAACCATACATGACATTACTATTGAAAACAAAGATAATGAATTATTAGCAACTTCTAAGATAGTGACTTAAAAAAAAAGTTATAGTAGAATTGCAAGACCCACAGATGTCTAATTGGAAATTGAAAAGGTGCAAATTGATGATATCAATGTCCCTGACACACATAAATGATTTAGAAATCCTCTTTACATTTCCATTCATGCCTTAGAAAAATTTAATTGTTGCAGCACCTAACTGCCTCTGTTTGATAGTTGTTTGTGAGTCAGAAGGGTGTTGCAAGATACGTTCTGGTATTACTCTTTAAGAGTAGACCTACCAATTACATCTAATGTTTTATTTCAGTATCAGAAAGTGGTATTATTCGTCAGATGTCCTCAGACAGTATGTCGAGTATAAATAGTCTATCTAGTGCCTGTAGCGCCACCTCTCAACATTCAGGGGCAGCAACTGATGATGGAAAGGGCAAGAAAAAGAAAGGATGGGTAAGAAAAAAACTTTCTGTTTTATATCAAGTGGAATTTTCTATTAGATTTAGTCAGTAAACACAAACGATGTTGTCAATTATGTAAAAGTATACTGTTGATATACTACAATGGCCAACAGAGAAGTTCACATCAACATGAATACTTAGAAATTTTGTGCGAAGGGTAGAAATTCTTGTAACATAAAATAAGTCAGAATGCAATTGACTTGCAAATAGGACTGTAGAATCCAAGGCACTATCTTCAAAAAATATTTCTATCAATATTCTCAGAGACTATGTTATGTTATGAATTTTCAGCTTATTATAAATATTCAGAAGACCTGATTGGTACAGACCATTGTCAAAAAAAAAGACTGCAGAAATCAAGTTGCCATCTTTGAAAATATTTCTATCATTTCATTCAGAAATTTGTGACATTTTGCTTAGAAAATACATATATATGATTTATGAATTTTGAGATTATTTTTTTCAGCTACGCAGTTCATTCAGTAAAGCCTTCAACCGAAAGAAAAATAAAAATGGATCGATGTCCGATGTGGAGCCAGATACACAGAGTTTACGCTCCAATATCTCTGCTCCGAACTCACCATTATTACTGATGCATGCTGGTCCTGGTGGACCTCTTAAAGGATCTCATTCTTCTGGGGCGTAAGTATTTTGATTTATGAAGTGTCTCAATAATTTAGTTGGTCAATCACAACCCCAATCAGATTACTGTATTTCCTTAAATTTTAATTTTTTTATGTCACATTTTCGAGAATAAGACCAAGATATAACAGAAAACACAAGATAATATAATATTATAATATATTATAATATTACATTTAGTTATTGTTATTATGACCTCAGAATATGATATGATGCAGTCAAGAGTATTTCTCTCAGGAAGTGAACAACTCTAAGATACTGGATATTAATGACAACAACTTACCTCCCTTTTCCTGAACTCAGACACGACTCTTTTCATTTCCAGGTTATGTGAGACAGAAGATGGAGTCAATGTTGTTGATTTAAAACAACAGTTAAGAGAAAAAGATATGAAATTAACGGACATTCGATTGGAGGCCTTGTCGTCTGCTCATCAATTAGAACAACTCCGTGAAACCATGAACAAAATGAAGGTATGTTGTCATTGAATTAGTCAGCACTTGCTGGTATAGAGATCAATTTTCAAGACTTTTTAAAATTCTCCAAAATTGAATGTTCTGACTTAAAACTGCATTAGGGCATTTTAGGGGAAAGTAACTGATTGAAAAAAACTTGTGCATAAGACCAATGATAAATTTTTTGCTCTTTCACAATATGAAATCTTACAGTCCTCATTTCCAAATGCTCATTTCATTAATTCACAATTTCGTTTTACTTTTCATAAATAACGTTTTGCACATTAATGAAACTCAATTTCTGGAAATGTGGGTGAAATATTAATTTAATATTTTTTATATTTTTTGTTTTTCCAGTCTGAAATGAGTGCATTAAAATGTGATAATGAAAGATTGAATAAAACTGGTAGCCTGATGTCCCCACAACATCAACGAACATTACATATATCACAATCGTCTATACCTGGTACACGCAGCAATGACTCATTAGATAGGTCTATCAGTCTCACTGATCATTCTAGTCTAGGTAAGCATTGGTTTTTGAAAATAAAATTTCTTAAATCCACTCTCCACTTGGAATATGTATTCAGCGTTCCAAAATCATATATTGGACTCACCCCCAAAGACTATGCTTAAGTGTAAGAGCCCAATATATTATTTTGGAATGCTGAATGCATAATTTTCAAGAAAATCTGCTATTTTTCTGTCAGATTTAGATCACTGTCCTTGTTGAAAATTAAGTTTACCATAAAGAAAGAGTTTTTTCTAAACTTTTCTAAAATTAAAGTAAGGAGTAGAATATGTATAATAGTGTTTATATTTATTAAATGTTCTATCTACTTCTTAATGTCATTTAAAGATTATATTAAAATTTCAGATATGTTACTAGCGGAGACGGCAGCCAATGATCGTGAGGGAAAAAGAGTCACGTTAGCCATGTACCTAGGATCCAATCCTGATCCTACTAAAGAGGGAATTGAGGTGAGATTTTGATCTGTTTTGGATTCAAACTATTTTATTTATGAACTTTGACAAGCAAATAAGATTTGTGACATTGCAGTGTTGCGATTTTCCATCAGATGTCTGTGGTCACTGCAATTCTACTTAAAGGAAGCATTTTATTGATCTTTGTTGTTCATTTAAATATTTCCCGATGAATATTAATATCATATTAATGAATGTAGCATGGTGAAAGTTTGCATTCTAATTCCAAAGCCAACTCTTAAAGGTTTCCCTGCTTGAGATTTTGCTGAAATTCAGATCAATTGTAAGGATTAATATTAGGGGGTGAAAGCTTTCAATAGACACACACTTTGGAAGCATTGGCCACAACAGCACGTATAGGAGGATTAGTGTGTCTAGAAATTACAATATTTGAATTCAGTATTTACAAGTTAAGCAACTGGTTATGTACCAGTATGTGATAAGCGCATTTTTAACAAAAGAAATTTATATGTTAGGAATCAATGCCATGTTAACACAGACACAAGCATATTTACATAATACAAATTCAAAATAATGTATTTAACAAAAATCTTAAATCTGAAACATTGATGGAAATGAAATGAAATGAATGGAGTTTTACATCCTACTTTTCTAAAAAACATTAATGGAAGACATGTACAAGGGAAAAAACTTAATGATAAACAAAATTCCCTTTGTAGATAACATTTGAATAAAATTCTTCTTATTATATTTTCAGAAACCAGCAGAAGTATTAATAGGGTATTTATCAGTCAGTGGTAAAACTAAGTGGGATATTTTAGATAATAATGTCAAAAAAATATTCAAAGTAAGTATTAATTTAACAGGTTTTATCAGTGACTCTATCACGCTACGTAGCCAAGTAAAAAATCCAACTTTGAAAGGATGTAATCTAATTGGTTTATGCAATTTAATTAACAATGGAATGAAGTGATTGACCAATCAATCTAGGTTAAGTTCTGGCAAGGGCTTGACATCGGCATCCCTTTTAAAACTGAAATGAAATGAAATCCTACTTTTCTGCACCATGTGGGCTAATGAAGACAGGCAGGGTGCAAAGAGGGAAATTTTTGCCAGGACAACTGCATTATCCTGCTCTCTTTTTATTTTCAACTGTTGAGGATCTTTAACGTACACAGCCTGTTTATTGTCCCATCCGAACGACTAGACGCTTTTTCCATGTCAGCCCCTATTACCTGCATCACTGACGGGGGGAAACTGGGTTGAAAAATCCAAAGGTATTATCTCAGCATATTTATATTTGAAAGTCTTGGTCTCAGCACCTCTTTCATTCAGAGAGTCTACACGGTTAATAATGGTTAATTTTGTATTATAGGAATATGTATTAAGAGTAGATCCTGTCACAAATCTTGGTCTCAGTTCAGAGAGTTTACAATCCTACCATGTAGGGGAGGTAACTAGAACTAAAGGTAAATATTCTATTATTGATGGATTAAGCCTTATTTCATGTTCATATTGAAAGCATTGAGAGTCAAAGCATCCTGATACCAGAGCAGTATTAATTAGTCAAATTTATAAGACATTATTTCATATTTTCGAGAGTTCTAAACTTTGTGGGGTCGGGTTTACTGTATCTAAGAGTCTTGCTACATGATTCTTTAATAGATCACTCAATATTACCATTAGTATGTGACGACCATGTGCATCAAAAGTTAAGTTTTCTTCTGATATTAACCAGCATTACTGTTTTCAAACATTTTCTTTTCTTTGCCAATACACCATATGAAATTTCAAACTGTTTTCTTCCAGATTCTGAATTGCCTGAATTATTACCTATAGGATATTTAGTTGGAGAAACCATGCAAATAGGAATCTGCCTTAAAGGTAAGTGACCAAACACCAGATTTTAGCAGGGCATATAGTAATAGTATATGGAGTTATTAACGTGTCTCAAAACTCTTGTAGATGTGTGTCCATTGTGTCAAAATGAGGCAAAGGGGGTCTGGGTGGGTTTAAAATACATAATTCAAAAAGCAATACTTCTAAATTGTGGTTGTTTTTCAAAAGTTAGGCATTTGCCTCTATTGTATCAGGCCATCAACTGGCAGAGGCGGAGCCAGTTTTGCGGGCGAAGGGTTGCGAGATATCTGAGATTGCCCGAATCTTTAACCTAGTAATGAGATTTTTGCCCGAAAAACTTGCTTTCGGGGCTGCGAGAGGGGGCAGCTGCCCCCTCTGCCCCCCTTTCCCCCTTTGGCTCTGCCACTGTCAACTGGGGAAAAGAAATATTATAACCTAACCCATTATTTCATCCAATCAGCAATGGCTATATTTTGAATGAAGTTGGAGAATTAATGATTAAGAATTTCACAATCACATGACATTTAAATGGCAACTAGTGTTAGTTTTTAATCATGCAAAATTTACTAATTATTGATCTAACTAGAACTTCAAGTATTGTAGTTAATTTAAGTTCACCACAATTTTTGACTGGTATTTTGTCTACTTTCAGGAACGAAGCAAAACACCGTTGATTCTCTAGCGTTTGAAACAATGATACCCAAGTCTATTATTCAACGCTATATACAGCTATTATTAGAACATCGTAGAATTATACTCTGTGGACCCAGTGGTACTGGAAAATCTTATCTAGCTCAAAAACTAGCCGAACATTTAGTACTCAGGTAAGTGATGATGAAACATGTTCAAAAGTGTACTGATTTATACCAAATGGCCTCTGTGAAAGTTACGCTATCCATAAAACTGTTGTTTCTTAATGTGTTGTGAGACTTCTAAATGTCTTACAAGGATAACATATACAATACCAACTAATTACCATCATTGCTAAATGTCCATATTTCACAACTTTCACTTTCCGTTTCAGATCTGGTCGTGTATTAACAGCAGGATCAGTCGCCACATTTAACGTAGATCACAAATCATCGAAGGAGTTACGTTTATATTTATCTAATATTGCTGAACAGTGTGAGAATACGATAGCCAATGAGCTTCCTGGCGTGATAATCCTCGACAATTTACATCATGTCAATTCATTGGCTGACGTGTTTAATGGCTTCCTCAGTGTTAAATATCAGAAATGGTGAGTTGAATTTCTTTGAATCATTTTAATGTCAGTTGTTATGTAATCATAAAAATTAAGTCAATTCATTGCTACTCTCATACATTTGTGCCGGTCAGGGAAAAAATCTGGTGACAGTCCTTGAAAATTCTGGAGACAGGCCTTGAAAAATCTGGTGACAGGCCTTAAAAAATTTGGAGACAGGCCTTAAAAAATTTGGAGACAGGCCTTAAAAAATCCGGTGACAGGCCTTAAAAAATCTGGGGACAGGCCTTGAAAATTCTGGAGACAGGCCTTGAAAAATCTGGTGACAGGCCTTAAAAAATTTGGAGACAAAAAATTTGGAGACAGGCCTTAAAAAATCTGGTGACAGGCCTTAAAAAATCTGGTGACAGGCCTTAAAAAATTCTGGAGACAGGCCTTGAAAAATCTGGTGACAGGCCTTAAAAAATTTGGAGACAAAAAATTTGGAGACAGGCCTTAAAAAATCTGGTGACAGGCCTTAAAAAATCTGGTGACAGGCCTTAAAAAATTCTGGGGACAGTCCTTGAAAAATCTGGTGACAGGCCCGTACTCTGTTAATTTTTTCAACACATAAAATCTCAGACTTGAATATAGGATTATGATTATGAATCAAATTCAGAAAAACTAATATAGAGGTTGGCAGATATTGAATGAATCTTAAAACTATATTGGAGATAGACATACAAGAAATACAATCAAAGCCAAGATGATGAGGTATTAATTATAAACTGCTATGTTTTTCGGTGGTTTCAGTCCTTAATTTTTAATTAAAATGCATATTAATACCCCCTTTATTTTCAGTCCATATATAATTGGTACTATGAATCAACAGACCTGTAACGCTACTAATTTACAGCTACATCATAACTTCAGGTTTGTCTACAATACAAATATTTAGATTTAGTTGTCACTGAGATATATAACGGAAATGTTCAAAATCTTACTCAAAAACATATTTTCGTTAATTTCTCATAATGATCAGATTTCATTTGAATTGTTTACAATTCAAGACTCTTAAGTAATATACAATAATATAATATTATTCGCGTATTTCAGATGGGTATTATGTGCTAACCATATGGAACCAGTGAAAGGATTTCTGGGAAGATATCTCCGCAGGAAGTTAGTGGAAGCGGAAGTCAGAACTGGTATCCGTAACAACGATTTAAACAAGATCATTGATTGGATACCAAAAGTCTGGACTCATTTGAATAAATTCCTGGAAACTCACAGTTCATCAGATGTTACGATTGGTCCACGATTATTTTTATCGTGTCCAATGGATATCGCAGGATCTCAAGTCTGGTTTACAGATTTATGGAACTATTCGTTGGTACCATATATGCTGGAAGCTGTCAGAGATGGACTTCAGGTAAGGATGATTTGGTTTTAATATCCTTGCCATAAAAATAAGATTTGAATACTATTAGCTATGTAGACTATTAGTAGGAGATGATGACATCTTCAAAATCTTATTCTTGAAATGGGGTTCAGCTTGGGGATTTGGGGTTTAGATTCATTGTTATAAATGAATATAATACATTAGAATGAGCTATCAATGACAAAAGTGAAATGTTTAAGCACTGGACTTGCTACCAGCAATTCAAGGCTAGAAAAACCATGGAACTTAGTTTTGTGACCTTAAAATATCACAATACAAATCTTATAGTGCGTATAATTCAGTCAGTCCATATTAACATGGTATTGTAATCGTATTTCAGGTCTATGGTAAACGATCACCGTTCGACGACCCCTCAGAATGGGTGATTGAAACGTACCCCTGGTGTAAGGAGGGTATGAATGACAGAGCTTTGTTAAAAATGAGACCTGAAGATGTGGGCTACGACACTCAATCTACTCATCCATCTTCAACTTCCAGTCCCTCAAGTACTATTAAAAGTAAAGCACAAGTGAATGCTAATGGTACAGAAGCTGATGGAGATCCATTGGTAAGCACCTTGTTCATTAGAAACACATTTTAGATATAGATTAGTGATTAGTTACTCCAATTGTCAACTGGAAATGGGGATTTGTTTAACCAATATGTTACCATAAATGGATTTAGAAATCTTAAATATTTGCAAATAGAGATTAATTTTCCAATATTAAGTTGTAAAGGTATAAAGTTGTCTACTGCTGGTAGAGCTCAATATCAGTTATCTGTAACGCTTCTCAATTCTGATATCTTGATCGCATATAATCCATTAAAATCAATGTTTTATTTCATTTACCCTATTGAACAGAAAAGGAGTTTAAAATCCTATTGTTTCTTCTGATAGCTCTAATAAAGAATAGCAAAAGCTTCTGATGTGCAATGAAGGAAAATTTGAAAACTTTTTAGTTTTAGCAATTTATTTTTTTTACTTCCAGGTCAATATGCTAATGAGATTACAGGAAGCTGCAAATTATTCAAGTCCACAAAGTAACGATAGTGATTCTACAAGCCTTGACAGTCACAGTTCAATTCAGGAATTCTCGGGGTCCTCCGGTGTCGAATCAACGTTATAACACTTATAGGAAATAGACTATACATTAGAACACTCAAAGGAAATAGACTATTACAAGAAAAAATACTATATGTTGTATCACTGATAGGAAAAGACTATATGTTATAACACTTATTTGAAATAGACTATATGTTATAAATTATGGTTCGGAGGATGATCTGGAATTGTACCTTGAATACAGAAAATGGATTTTTACGTTAGACAATGTGATTGCTTTCAAGATGGTGGTGAATATACTTTATGACACTTATAGGGAATAGACTATATATGTGCATGTGTACAGAAAGCAATGTCGTATATATCGACTTATTGTGAAAGACAGTGTCTAAAACTGTATTTGAACATGACAGTGTGTAAAAACGGTATTTGGACTTTCTAACAGAGTCAAAAAACTGAATTTGGACTCTGTAACAGTGTCAAAAAACTGTACTTGGACTTTGCAACAGTGTGTAAAGACTGTATTTGGACTTTCTAACAGTGTCTAAAAATTGAATTTGGACTCTGTAACAGTGTCTAAAAACTGTATTTGGACTTTGTAACAGTGTGTAAAGACTGTATAAGGAATTTGAAAGCTATGACAGACAGTTCGAGACTTTAGTGCTGTTTAAGTGTTGACCGTTTGAAATTTTATTGACATAGGTTGATGTGTTATATATTGAAATGATGTGCTATTGGTGTTGGAGATTATATTTTAGTCACAAGAGTGCATAGATGCTTGAGGGGCGTTGATATTTAACGCTAGCAAGTAGAAACGCGAGGGATAGGTGTTAAATGATTTGTGTGCAATATTTTAAAATGTATTGAAGAAAAATACAAAAGCTCAATTCATGATTACTAAAAGTAATACAACATTCAAAACACAGGAAATTCTAAATTTCTGTCATTGGCATTGTAAAGGGAAGTGACCTGACTAGGCCAGTCATATTCTGGGTCTAAAGCTGCATTTACATTGCCAAAATTTCTAAGAGTTCCGACCGAGGACAGTTCATTTCAACTATCCAATATTTAAGGCAGTTTAAAGGCGGCTTATGATGTTTCTGAGATATTTTGGCATCTTATCATATGTTAAATCAGGAGAAAAAGTTCCATTAAAGAACTCAGTTATATCTCTTTTGACTGTGAACATAGTAAGTTGCAAAAAAAAATTGTTGAGGCAATTTGCAATTAAAACAAAATCTAGTTCCAAGCACGAAATAATCCAAGTCGGGTCCTTCTTAAATTATAATATTATCCAAACCAACCAATCAGATCATAATAAGATTCTTAAATTTTCAAAATTCATTCGAAGATGATAGTCCAATTTTTTGTAATCATAGTTTTGCTGAGTAATGATTTGTAATTTTGTATCTAGTATTAATCATCATAAATAATGTGCAATTTTTGCTGATTTTATATTTCCATAGCAACCATCACTGCCATATCAACTCGAGTATTTTAATTTTGAATTGTGTTCAAGGATGTTTTTATAACGTGTATATTTCAATCATCGTGTACATTTGCCGTGGATTTTTATTGCGTGGCCAAAGACAGCAAAGTTTTATAAAAATGATTGTCGTAAATTTGTGTCACATATTTATCATGTGTTTATTCATATCATTTCAATTACTTCATTTCACTTCATTTCATTTTTTATTAAATTATTTCATTTTCATCTTGCTGTTAACAATCTGTTCTGTACTTCTGAAACTGTTGCTTGAAGGAGTAGCAGTGGTTCAATGAGTTAGAAGGCCCAGATCCAGATCCTGCATGGGTCAAGATAATTCCTTTGGATTTTCTTAAGAAATCTCGCAACAGTTGGGAATCTAGAAATAAGTAGGCTAATGTAGCTGTTATGGTAAAATTTCCCTCACTGACTAGTGACTACCAACGATTTATGATTTATGTCTTTTACACCTCTAGAATTCGATATTTCTGTTCAATTTTTGTTGAAATTTTGTTTAGTTTCTTGTCACCTTCCCGAAACTTTGTGTCCGAAGTTTTGATAATAGATCCTAGTCCTACCATTAGTCTAGTAAGATCTTTCGTGAGTAGGATTTTTAGTGTTTCGATAGCTTCCATCTTTAGAGAGGGTTAGACGAAGGATTCGTGTTTATTTTGGGTTATACTTTTTCGTTATTCAGTTGTAATGTAATACCTTTTGTTTCTTAAGGTGTCTTCACATCTTCTCAATAACCTGTTGCGTATGGTTGCGAATAAGAAAGTAGTCATAAGTAACGAATGCGACGCACAACTCAGTTGCATGAGATTTACATTCGAAGCGTATAACTGCTCTTCTTAATTGCAACCATAGGCAACTGGTAATCGCTATGGTGTGAGGGCACCTTTTGTTATGAAATAAACACCATTGCATTATAGAAGTTTTTTAGATTAAAGTTTAGGGTTAATGGTTTTTGGTTATTGAATGTTATGTCTCTAAGTTTCTAAGTTAAATATTATACTAGTAATTACATTAAAGAGAAATAATAAAGATTCAAGATCTGGTCCCTTTTTTGGGGTTTGACTGTTAGCCTTGAGTGACAATAAATTATTATAATTGTGTTTTCCAGTTTTAGGGAGGCATTGAATTCTTGCAATCCTGGAGCACATGATGCCACTTTGGGGTTGATGATATCTACTGATTGATTCCAGCCTATCTAACCACTAGATGGAGCTTCATGTTCTCACACATTCATTCATTCAATAATCGTCTTCATTTTTAAACCAATTCATTTTTTAAAACTCATTAAAATTTCACTTTTATTTTGTTCATTTAAGTACACTCATTGGTCAAATTCAAATATACTTCAACCAATGATAATACAGTATTCTGGCATTCATGAATCCTTTCTATGAATTCAAACATTTTGATTGGGTTAACATAAGAGTGAATTAACCAATGATTTTCTAGTATTTCATCATTCATTCATAAATCATATTTAAATGAGCACATTTTATAAAATCAGTATTTATTCAGTAAGTGTCTTTATTTATCATTCAAATTGCTGACGTGCCATTACTGAGATTTTGTATTGAGACAGATATTGAATGGCAAACCACCTTCAAAAAACTTAAATTTTAACTGTCAGATTGGAGGGTTGACATGGAAAACTTCTTGCCATTCGATGGGACAAATAACCAAGTGTTCGTGTTCTATTAGCTGTGAAAGATCCCTAAACATTTGGAGTAGGAGTAGGATGAGGCCGATGTCCCATCAAAATGTTCTCATTGCATACTTCATGGTGTTGCCCGTCTCCAAAAACCCAAGCAGATATACAAAAGTATAACATAAAACTCAATTATATTACGTTCTTGTAATAAGGTACCCTGCTAGATGAAGGTTATTGCCAATTTGATATCTGTCTTGATACAAAACTTCAATATAATAATTATACTGTATATATATATTGTTACTTAAAGGGTTACCACCTCTTAGAATGGACATAAAATTTAAAGTCTCAAACTTGGTCAGCAGGTATATATATTCATCAGTTGGACTTGTCTGATGTCATGACTTAAGAATAGAATCTCTGTACAATATATCAATAATACTAAAATAATTAGTTAAATGAATTATTACTTAGTTTTATGGATTTATTGCATTATATTCTGTTGTATAGATACGGCACCAGGCGAGTCTACTGATGAACAAAGATTCATTTTGACCAAGTTTAAAAATTAACATTTTTTGGTCATCCAAAGAGTATACCTTTAACATTATAACTACACAAGACTACTGTATATATAGATATGTTACTGTAGATTTCAATTGTAAAACCTACTTCCATAACATTGATTCTAAATGGGCACATAGATACCAAAATCTGCTTGGAACCTGACTGTGTTCATGTACTGTTTAATCTCGAATATAATGCACACCCTTTTTACGCTCCAATATCTAGACAGTGAAGACGGTATCAGACCTGACTGGGTACTCCAAAAACAGATCTGACCTACTCTTTTAATACTATAAACTTACAAAATATAATCAGGTTTTACTGGTTGAACTTCTGGGCGTTTGGTTTTATATTTCAAAACCGAAAAATACCAGAAAATCATTGTGATATATTTAAGAGAGACATCATGATGCGGTATTTTGAGATCTTTTATTTTGATGTAGCAAAATTGATAACTTAAAAGTTAAGACTTTGTCTTTCTCACATTTTGCAGACCATACAATCCCAATTGAAATTTGTTGTATGTAACCCGCATGGTGCAGAAAAGTAGGATGTAAAACTCCACTCATTTGATTTGGTGTATGTAAAGTGTAGAAATATATGAAAGCTCTACTAAAGTTTGTTAAATATCCTCAAACTCTGTGGGAAAAAACTACTATGGTTAAAAAAGATGATGTTAAAATAATTGTCAATTTTGTTACCATATCTTGTACTATTGTTTGAATTGTAAAAAATTTCTTTCTGTGAATTTGTAATTTATATTTATGTGTGTCGAGAGTGAGTGGGGCTAATTAGGCCACGCCTTCTCTCTCAGAGTTTGTCATAGTATAGTAATGATGGACATTAGCCTATAATAGGACCAGTGTTTCGTTTTCTTCTTGATTGAATTAAACATTTTCAAGTGAATTTCTTATATTTATTTTTACCTTAAATCCCTTGAAACATCTCAAACCGACAAATATTGTTGTGAAGTTCAGACGTGCTGTCATAACCATGGATTCTGTTGTTCAGTCAAGGAAATCTGCTGTCAAGCCCGTAAGCAAGTGTGTGTATTAAAAGCATGAACAATTTGTAAATTTCAAGAACACTGATATATCCAGAATACTCTTGTCAAACCCCATCACAGTATGAAATGCTGTTGTCAATCCAAGGAATAATTGTTAGACACTGTTGTCAAGACTGGCTTATTGTCAAACACTGTTGTCAAGCCCATGAAAAATTGTTAAGCAGTGTTGTCAAGACTGGATTATTGTCAACCACTGTTGTCAAGACTGGCTTATTGTCAAACACTGTAGTCAATCCTATATCTTTGTCAAACACTGTTGTCAAGACTGGCTTATTGTCAAACACTGTTGTCAAGCCCAGGAATAATAGTTAAACAGTGTTGTCAAGACTAGATCATTGTCAAACATTGTTGTCAAGCCCAGGTATATTTGCCAAACAGTATTGTCAAGTGTCAACAGTGTTGTCATACAGTGTTGTCAAGCTCAGGAATAATTGTTTAACAGTGTTGTCAAGACTAGATTATTGTCAAACACTGTTGTCAAGCCCAGGAATAATTGTTTAACAGTGTTGTCAAGACTAGATTATTATCAAACAGTGTTGTCAAGACTAGATTATTGTCAAACACTGTTGTCAAGCCCAGGAATATTTGCCAAACAGTATTGTCAAGTGTCAACAGTGTTGTCATACAGTGTTGTCAAGCTCAGGAATAATTGTCAAACAGTGTTGTCAAGACTGGCTTATTATCAAACACTGTTGTCAAGCCCATGAATAATTGTTAAACACTGTTGTCAAGCCCAGGAATAATTGTCAAACAGTGTTGTCAGACACTGATGTCTAAATTTGATTATTGTCAAACACGGTAGTCAAGACTGGATTATTGTCAAACACTGTTGTCAAGCCCAGGAATAATAGTTAAACAGTGTTGTCAAGACTAGATCATTGTCAAACATTGTTGTCAAGCCCAGGAATATTTGCCAAACAGTATTGTCAAGTGTCAACAGTGTTGTCATACAGTGTTGTCAAGCTCAGGAATAATTGTTTAACAGTGTTGTCAAGACTGGATTATTATCAAACAGTGTTGTCAAGACTAGAATATAGTCAAACACTGTTGTCAAGCCCAGGAATAATTGTTAAACACTGTTGTCAAGCCCAGGAATAATTGTTAAACACTGTTGTGAAGCCCAGGAATAATTGTCAAACAGTGTTGTCAAGACTGTCTTATTGTCAAACACTGATGTCAAAACTTGATTATTGTCAAACACGGTAGTCAAGACTGGATTATTGTCAAACACTGTTGTCAAGCCCAGGAATAATTGTTAAACAGTGTTGTCAAGACTGGGTTATTATCAAACAGTGTTGTCAAGCCCAGGAATAATTGTCAAACAGTGTTGTCAAGCCCAGGAATAATTGCCAAACAGTGTTGTCAAGCCTGGGAATAATTGTCAAACACTGTTGTCAAGTCTAGATTATTGTCAAACACTGTTGTCAAGCCCAGGAATAATTGTCAAACCGTGTTGTCAATCCCAGGAATAATTGTCAAACAGTGTCGTCAAGCCAAGGAATATTTATGATCTCAGACCCGTAGATTCAGGGCTGCTGACTTCTGACAACCGACCAATTCCATTACTGTGACTAAACACCATGCACCATTGCCACTCAGAATATATTACTTGTCCATCAGAACAATCAAGTCTGACAACGGATGGATAGACCTAATCCGGGAGGGACTTGGCAGTATTATGATTACCTCAACTAACTATTTGTACAATATTCGATGTTTAGGAGGTGTGATGAAACCTAATGATTGCTCTGGGATTTTGAGGACTGAAAAGGTATCCATTGCTAAATAGGTGATAAAATTATCACTAATCATTTCAAGATAAGGAAAACGCGTAACTTTTATCTCTGTTATTCTTTATAATTTGAGAATCTTGAGGTAACACTTGTGCACAAATTGCAGGCTTAAACCCATCGGGGTTGAAAGCTAACGGGCTAGAAGTATCAAAAAGTCATATGGTGTAAGGTCTTGTTGCCACACTCGGAGCTGTTCACAGTTCTAGTATTAATGTGTTTCTGGACACAATTAAAGGTACACACCTAATACGAGATGTTGAGCCAGCCGACGAAAGAGAATGTAATCTTGTAAGTGTTGATCTATCTAATGCCAAACGGTGGTTAGCTCCCCTCAATGCAAAGTCAAATATGTAATAATTTGAAAATATAATAAGATATCATTTCTACTTGATATTTATTAGAGAGAAGAATTAAATGTCTATCAACCAAAAGATATTCAAATAACACGCAATCGAAAATTTAAAATATCATTCCGACTCAAATTACATCGTTCTAAGTTTTAATATTGTTAATCTCGAATACGATTTCGTCCAACATTGTGAAGACCTCAACCAGTCATCCTCATTTGTTAAGGATCTTGCATCATTATCCAGAAAGACTACAAAATTGATCATTACATATTAGTTTATTTGATAATAAAAGATTGAAGAAAAATTACAATCATAATCAACGTCTAATTGCACAATTATTTTACATCTTAATACTCCAAATAAACTATTGAAACATCTGATATACTTTCAAGGAATATATATACTAAGTGTTTACTTATCAGCTGAGAGGCTGGCTGAAATAGATCAGTTGTCTGAAGATCGCACAGTTACTCTGAGTAACAACATGTTCTAGTTTCTGAGTTTATATTTCTATCTGTAAATATCAGCTGTTGTCACTTCGGGGCAATATTGACATCCTCATGGGTAGATATCTTATTTAATGACTCCTAGCAACGCCATTTTGTAAATAATAGCAGAAAGGTGACCATAGTTTCAATTTACAATTTTTCTGGAATTGCAAGAGAGTCGGACCTCACATGAGGAAATGGAAGTTACCCTCCTTTTATCCCCATTTTAAAATTATCAGACCACCAACAAGTAGTACGCCATATCAGTTAACCCCATTTTGAAAATAAATCGTAGTCACAGTATTAATAGAAGTAATTTCACATGCATTGGAATTGAATAAATAAAACAATATAAAGACTGATGAAATCACATGACAAGTAATCAATGGTTTATCTTTTCATCAATATACATAAATCTTTCCAACATCAGGTTCATCAATAATCACTTATTCTGTTTTTTACAGATTGGCTGATACTCCTCCCTGAAACAAACATAGTAATCAGTGAAATTTAACGATTTTTATAACCAATCATATTGCGATACGTATAACTCTATTAAGGCTACGATATGATATGTATCACTCTATTAAGGTTACGATACGCTATGTATCACTCTATTAAGGTTACGATACGATATGTATCACTCTATTAAGGTTACGATACGATATGTATCACTCTATTAAGGTTACAATACGATATGCATCACTCTATTAAGGTTACAATATGATATGCATCACTCTATTAAGGTTACGATACGATATGTATCACTCTATTAAGGTAACGATACGATATGCATCACTCTATTAAGGTTACGATACGATATGTTTCACTCTATTAAGGCTACGATATGTATCACTCTATTAAGGTTACGATACGATATGTATCACTCTATTAAGGTTACGATATGATATGTATCACTCTATTAAGGTAACGATACGATATGCATCACTCTATTAAGGTTACGATACGATATGTTTCACTCTATTAAGGCTACGATATGTATCACTCTATTAAGGTAACAATACGATATGGATCACTCTATTAAGATTACGATACGATATGTATCACTCTATTAAGGCTACGATATGTATACTCTATTAAGGCTACGATACGATACATATCACTCAATTAAGGCTATGAAATGATACATATCACTCAATTAAGGCTACAATAAGATATGTTTGACTCTATTATGGCTACAATATGATACATATCACTATTAAAGCTAAGATACGATATGTATCACCCTAGTAAGGCTACGATACGAATCACTCTATTAAGGCTTTGATAAGTTCCCACTCTCTTAAGACTATGATACAATATGCTACACTATGATGCCTTTCACTCTACTAACGCTAGACTATGATGCCTTTCACTCTATTAAGGCTACACTATGAAGCCTTTCACTCTATTAAGGCTATGATATGATACATATTACTCTATTAAAGCTACGATATGATACATATTACTCTATTAAAGCTACGATATGATACATATTACTCTATTAAGGCTACGATATGATACATATTACTCTATTAAAGCTATGATATGATACATATTACTCTATTAAAGCTAATATACGATACATATGACTCTATTAAGGCTATGATATGATACATACCGCTCTATTAAAGCTACGATACGATACATATTACTCTATTAAGGCTATGATATGATACATACCGCTCTATTAAAGCTACGATACGATACATATTACTCTATTAAAGCTACGATATGATACATATCGCTCTATTAAAGCTACAATACGATACATATTACTCTATTAAGGCTATGATATGATACATATCGCTCTATTAAAGCTTCGATATACATATCACTCTATTAAAGCTACGATACGATACATATTACTCTATTAAGGCTACGATATGACACATATTACTCTATTAAGGCTATGATACGCTACATATCACTCTATTATGGCTACACTATAATGCCTTTCACTCTATTAATCACTCTATTAAAGCTACGATACGATACATATTACTCTATTAAGGCTATGATACGATATATCGCTCTATTAAAGCTACAATACGATACATATTACTCTATTAAGGCTATGATACGATACATATTACTCTATTAAGGCTATGATACGATACATATTACTCTATTAAGGTTACAATACGATACACATCACTCTATTAAGGCTTCGATATACACATCGCTCTATTAAGGCTTCGATATACATATCACTCTATTAAAGCTACGATATGATACATAGTACTCTATTAAGGCTATGATACGATACATATTACTCTATTAAGGCTATGATACGATACATATTACTCTATTAAGGCTATGACAGGATACATATCGCTCTATTAAAGCTACGATACAAAATATATTACTCTATTAAGGCCATGACACGATACATATCACTCTATTAAAGCTACGATACAAAATATATTACGAAATAGGGAATTAGATCTAGTAGCACTTTATCTTCAAAAACAGAAAACACACTACAAGAAACATCCAAATCTGTGTTTTAATCAGGTTGGTTTTCAGCTAGCCGACAAAATCATTACAGATAACAGTAGGTGATGTTTTTTATTAAAAAAGTAACAAACTGCTTTAAGATAATAGTTTTTATGTGGACGTATAAAAAATTTCATAAATTCTAACCTGTGCTCGTTTATATGCATTCAAAGCCTCCTGTAATTTTCTGCCATACTCAGCATCTGCTTGACCAAAATTATGAACAGCTCGTTTCTGAATAAATTCCTGAGCATCTTTTAAATTCCCAGCCATATTCTGAACCAATCTTTCTCTTTCTTCTGGATTTAATACCTGAAGAGAAATACAATAGTCAGGGGTAAAATATAGTCCTCATTCTCATTCCCAGTATAGCTGCCCTGATGAAGATTTTTTATCCAAAATACAAGTCAGCATCCTGAGATAAGCTTAAAGGATTGTAAAGAGGTTTTGTGTTAAGTCGAGGAATAGATTCAAAATGGCTGTGAACTACGTTTGTATGTGTTATTTCAATGCAAGAACCATACGTAGTTTTGTATGTACATGGATATTGTGACCTATGTAAAGAAAGAAAATTCTGAATATTCTTCGACTTAAAGAGATTGTAAAGAGGTTTTCTAAATTTTTATGTGTATCGGGGACACTCAATTCAAAATTCCTCTGTTGTGGGTTAAAACTCAGCCAAGTTTTATCTTTCTACTACCTTTCTCCAGAAAATTCCAACTTGACTAAAATTATCATCATCTGCTGTGTTATATCTCGTCACGTCTCCAGACAATTTAAACGGACATTCTAGATGTTTGGGGTTATCCTGGGGGCCACTGAAACTGTTCGGGAAATAATTTGGTGCTCCACCTGAATTAGAAATATGGTCAATGAGATATCAAGCACTCTGCAAAGGAACATGGTCTAACAGACCACTTACAAAAGGTGACTGCATAATGTCAGAAATATTATATATTATTTTTTAAAAATCTGACTCATCCAATCGAGGAAGAGATTCAAAATGGCATAGTTTGTATGCTTACCTTGATTATCATCAACACATTGTGGGCCGTCTCGTTGATAAGTTCTGGTCCTAGCGTTATATGGACAGTTGATAGGAATCTGTAGGTAATTACTTCCTAGACGATGTCTGTGGGTGTCAGAATACGAAAATAATCGCCCCTGAAAAATAATAGAAGATAGATTTAAGATTGGAAATACACATACATATATAGACAATAGGCCAGATAAAAGCAAACTATTCAGTAAGGTTGATCAAGAGAAATTCTGAGCAAAAGTACAAAGGAAGTTCATATATCTTCTAAAATTTCAAGAATTAGCTAAACATCATTTAATTTCCAAGAAAATCAGTTTCAGAATCAGAGGTCAAGGGAAATAACTTTGTTTCTAATTACTGGAATATGCTTACATTCAAACTTGATATTCGTTTTATTATTAATGTATACAAATAACAAGTTTGATCAAAATCTGTTTAAAATATAGATTCCCGAGCCGACAATGAACAGACCTAAAGTGGCCCTCATACCATAGCGTTCAACGGTTGCTGATTGTTGCCAATAAGAATAAGTTATAAGTTTCAAACACCACAGTTGTGTTCCTTACTAGTGATCACTTTCATTATTCGCAACCATACACAACTGGTAATAACTATGGTGTGAGGGAACATTTGGTGCTGAAAGCAAAAGTCAACATTTAGGGATGTGTTCAGACATTAAGATGCGAGCAATGACATAATCAAACTCTGGAAGTGAAAGACTATACCTGTAACATTTTATCCGGACTGGCCTCAATCCCTGGTACCATATGAGCTGGTGAAAAGGCTATCTGTTCAACCTCAGTAAAGTAATTTTTAGGGTTTTTATTCAGCACCATTTTACCCAATGGTAGTAAGGGATATTCACCCTGGGGCCACACCTAGAATTGAGAAAGGGTCACATATTAAAAAAATGAAATGAATGGAGTTTAACGAGCTACTTTTCTATACAATGTGGGCTAATGAAAACAGACATATTGAAAAAGAAATGCAATGAAACATCTTAGTTTTCTTCTACTTATCAGATTATTGAAGTTGGCTAATGGAATGCAGTTTGCAATGAGGGTAATTTTGTATATAAGACATTGATGTGCACACAGGCCCTCAGTTTATTGTCAGCCCTTTGTACATGTCAGTACCTCTGACCTGTGACAGGAAGAATCCAGGTTGTAAAATTCAAAGAAAACCTCATCCTCTCAAACTATGCTGGATCTAGGTTACTGGACCAAGCATGCATCACTCCTATATCTAAAGTCTTTCAATGGCAATTAGTAATTGAGGATGATGTCAAATCATTGCATAAAACTTTAACCAGTGATTGTTGTTCCATAAAGCTGTGTCTATATATCATACTCACAATTGCTAAATGCCATTTAAAGACTTTATTCTTAACAATAAGCATTAACATATATATAGTGTGCCTATCACTTCTTCTCATTATGTGCATGTCGAAACGTTGCATTAAACTTTAACCAGTGATTGTTGTTCCATAAAGCTGTGTCTATATATCATACTCACAATTGCTAAATGCCATTTAAAGACTTTATTCTTAACAATAAGCATTAACATATATATAGTGTGCCTATCACTTCTTCTCATTATGTGCATGTCGAAACGTTGCATTAAACTTTAACCAGTGATTGTTGTTCCATAAAGCTGTGGCTATATACTTATATCTAGGTTGAATATTTCAATAAATCTAACTTTCTGAATTAACATCTATATGAAGAAATATATGTATTATAGTGCCTGGATATTCAATTATTGTTTCTTAATCCTAATCTTAAAGGGCAAGCAACCTTTTCTAAGCTTCGCACTATTATCTTAAACAGGTACCTTTGACAAATCAAATGGATTCCATCTAAATCTCTCAGCTTCTTCATAAGACATGACTTGAATATACACAGTCCAGGATGGTGAGTTACCTTCACGTATAGCGTTATATAGGTCTCGTGTAGAGTAGTCTGGATCACTGGCAGATAATTCTCCTGCTTTCTCAGCTCTCAGACATTTAATACCTTGATCAGTCTGGATAATTAAAGACAAAGTTATAAATGATAAGAAAATATAATCCATTGATGTGAATCTTGTAAAGGGATTTTGAGTTGAAAATACATACAGCCTTTCCACTGAGAATTGTAAGTAAAGCTAGCTTAGCTTTATTGCCGAACGTTTTGCCTTTACACTGAAGTTACCTGGTTCCCGAACGACTTTAGCCTCAATCACAAAGTTGCTCGTTATTGACAACTCATGATGTACAAGACTACTGTTTAATTCAGATTAACCATTAAGGACTTTCCAAAATAGACACTGAATAGATATGCCCAATAGTATAAAACACTTTCAGTAAGTAAACATACCCTGTCTTAAAGTCTAAAACCAATAGACATTTAATATAAGAATTTGTAAATGAAACGTTGAATTGACAAGCCCAATACATACAATATAACTGTCAAATGCAACTCAATGCAAAATGTAAACAACAGAGCACAATTGATGGAATTTAAAGCACAAATGGAAATTTTTTTATAAAATGACGTCTAACCTTAAAATGAAATTTACAGTAAACTCCTTTATTGTCGTTATTGATCATTTTAAAGGTGTGACTTCCATAACCATTCATATGTCTGTACCCGTCTGGCGTACCTCGGTCAGAGAACAGGAAAGACACCTGGTGAGCTGTTTCTGGCCGTAACGAGATAAAATCCCAAAACATATCAGGATCCTTTAACATAAAACACACAATATTTAAAATAAACTCAGGTGCTTTTTAGAAATGACATTTGAGACAAATTCTTCAAGAAGTAAGCCTGTTGTACAGTTTAACTAAATTTGTTTTTGGTTTCAGTAATGAAATAAAACTTTTTCAGACTAATATTCTCAAGGTACAGTAGCATATATGGCATTTGGGACCAAAAGTAGCACACTGCTATTGTGTCACAATGTAATGAAATAAAGAGACTGTTATTCTCTGAATGCAATGGCCTATCATACGAAACTAGGTATGGTTCTTATGAGAAAATAAACACACATGAACATGGTTCACCATCATTTTGAATCACTTCCTCTACTTGTAAAAATGTTTCAACACAGTCTTCGAATCACATTTAGAGCCATTTAGAAACGTTAAAATGTGATTTGAAGGCTTAGTTGACACATTGTAGCCGTTTTCAAAATACGACTTATTAAGTCAACAAAGAGATTCAAAATGGTTGTGAACTACATTTGGGTGTGTTTTTTCCATGTAAGACATGTGAGTGGACTGTATGGCATTAGAGATCAAAACTTGCTTACTGGTATTTCCCCACATGTTCTGGCTAGTTTGACACAATAATTACCAGTACTACACATGGCCTATAAATAAATATAACAAGTTTAGTCTCTTTCAAAACTTACCTTTAAATTTGTAACTGGATTTCTCTTCTGTGTATGAATAAAGCTTGGAAACTAAAAAATAAATATTTCAATTCATTTTACCATTGAAACAAAAGAAAAAGATGAGCAACATTTCACTCAAAATGTACAATTCAAATACAAACTTTTTTGTTGTTACTGGTACTCAGAATTTCATACTAGGCAATCTTCAGACAACTGACTTATTTCAGCCTGTTTACCTTTTGAAGTTTGACAAGTTTTTTTATACCAGTATCTTCGTCTCAATACAGACTAAGTCCTGTTTATACGGCCAAAAGTTACTCACATGAGCATATTTACTCCTGGAGTATATTTGCTTACATAAGCAAAAGCGTTTACATGACCACTTTTACTTATTTAAGTATATTTAAACAGGGCTTAAGATGGTTTGATTAAATAACTGACATAGGGGCATTGTTGATGAAAAGCTTTCCTATTTACAGAGGTTACAAAATACTTAAGTACTTACTAGAAAAGGATCTCGGATGAAAAATATTGGAGTGTTGTTTCCAACTAAATCCCAGTTTCCATCCTCGGTGTAAAATTTAACAGCAAAACCTCTTGGATCTCTGGCAGTATCAGCTGAACCTTTTTCACCTCCTGTCAGATAAATTACAAGAAGTCAGGTAGGGTGGTTTAAGTCTGAGTTTTCTCCACCTGATTGGAATGACGAAGCAGATAACACTATGCAGTGTGCTATGAGAAAAATTTTGCCAGGACAGTGCCATCATCCTTCTCTTTTAATATTTCCATCTGATCTAAACTTGAAGCACAAGGTCTTGGTTTATCCGACACTTTTCTGTTTAACCAGCATCACTGAGAGGAGGAAATTGGGTTAATAAATCTGAATGAATATCTCATCCAAACTGAATCAATAAGCAATAAGATGAATAGTCATGCTTTCAACAACAACAAAATTTGTTAGACTGATTGACTGGAATTATTAGTCTTTTTCTTCTTACATGCACAAAGAAAACTGGTGAAGCAAAAGTTTATGACAAAACATTTAAAATTCCATACATTTCTTGCATATTAGAAAACATTTTGGTGAAAATCGTTTCAGAATTTAACTTTTACCGGAGATTTAAAATCAAGTTTGTCAACTTACCTACAGTAGAGAATCTAACAGCGACTGGGGTTCTCTTTCCAACTGTATCAAATACCTTAGCTTTACAATATTTAGAAATATCATGGGTCACCTCAAAATAACCCAGTGCACCTGAAATTATATGAATTTAAATGATAAAAATTATACAGATATGGAACGAAAAATTGAGTTTTATGTCCCTGTCAATGATTGGGCAGATGAGGACATGAGGTAAGGTAATACCATTCAGTGAATTAGTGTTACAAGTCATAAATACCCCAGTTGTACTCATGTCATGTGGTAATTGAATATTTTATTGAGCATTAAATGTCACTGAACACGAGATGTATTGTAACAATTTTATGAGATTATGGATGGCAAGTGAAGTAACCTGCAGAAGAAAAAGAAACAAAATATCCAAAGTTGCAATTACCTGCCCCTTTAGCATGGACAACTCTTTCAGGGATTCTCTCTCTGTTAAAATGAGCCATTTCATCCGTGAAGACGAAATCTTGTAGAAGAATTGGACCACGAGGTCCCACTGTCAATGTAGCATTCTTGGCACCAACAGGAGCACCTGTTCCTGTTGTCAGGGTTTCGGCATCCTGTAAATGGAACATAAAATTGGATTTAATGCCCAGCACTGTCAAAATGATATTTTCAAGGGCAATTTTAAACTGAATTGTGGCCTTATAAATGTCAAATAGGGAAGAATGTTTTTTTGGGAATGAAAATTGTAAAATCTTGATTTATATGAATCTGAAGAAAAACAACAAAAGTTTGAAGATTTTAATGGACTTCATCTTTTGTATTATTGCAAATATTTAATTAGAAATAATGAATATCGGACATAATTCAATTCAGAAATGGTTTATTATTATGCTATGGCAAATGGACATTATAAAGTGCAACTTGCAGCTTCAAGTGGACAGTGAATACTAATAGCTTGGTTCCATCAATGCACCCTTAAAGATGAGCTCTTTGCTGTCAAATATATCACAATAGTGATCGTGGGCTAATAATTCAGACATTTAGGCTTAGGCTGGACTCTGCTCTTGTGGTCAAATTACTAAGGAAAGATAACTCTTGTATTATTCTGCAAGTTTCGACAAATTGCACACAAAAGAATCGTTAAAATGGACTGATTCGTTGATTAAAACATGCAAACTTACACCCTGCTGCCTCTTAAATTCGTTCATCTGTTCAGCCGCTTTGTCCCTATTTGCCATCTTGGTTTTTGGTAGAATTTCTGTTATGAAACTCAACTTCGCACAGAAAAGAAGACAACGGCCTTGAAATTTGCCTGGTCAAAGGTCAATGTGAAGTAGAATTATTATCCAGTGAAGGATTGTCTAGTGAATAAACGTCTAGATGTTAGAGACTATAGCTGTTATCTATTGGAAAGTGCTCTGTAAGGAAGAGTTGACATGGTCTAAAGATAGGAGTATCTGGTTCAAACTGCATTGTTAGTAAACAATCTACTTTGCACTGCTATTATCATGACTTGTACCGTACTGAAGGGATAGAACGCAAAGCAATATGAAACGCATTAATCGGTTATGTTTATCAATTTTAAAGTTGTTATCCCAGAGAGCTGCTTTCGATAATATTCACACTTGAACCATAAAAATACCAGCAATATTTAGATCATATCAATATGTTTGATATGCCAAGATATTTCTCAAATTTGTAAACAAGGATACAAATTTCAAATTTTCAGTCTACTTTCTACTTCAATTTTTATAGAAAGGATTATGCACAGGCTACCCTTTAAAATCCTTCGAAATACATAGGTTTGAAGTTAAAATAGCGAGTGCTTTCTTTCATCCCTTCCTTACACTTTGTGAATTTCAAGGGAATAAATGTTTAACAGCGATATTCTGATAAATCTGAGAGATAGGCGCCTTTTCTATGTGGGATGTCACCTTTTGCTTCACAGATCGTACTACTGCAACACGGTATGGGCTAACAGAGGCCCATTAAGTGTTAGGGCCTACATTTAGGACCTACATTGATTAACGGATCATTCGATATTAATTCCGGATCTAATTTCCCACCGGGTGTATGTAATTGCAATATTCCTGCCTTTCCGACAGGCCGTCGAAATGCTCATATTGTCTCGTGTTGAATATTGAAAGCATTCCCACCATTTTCTAGTTCAAAGAAACAAATCCGAAAGTGATATTTTGTATATTTTTGGACAGTGTCGGATCAAAAAAAAAAAAATAAAAAGATTTTAAGAATTTGACCAAATTATGGACACATCATTATCAATAAATATATCCAGTTTCAATGAAAACAATTAAATTTTACATTTTTTATTAAATATTATAACAATTAATTATATATATATATATTATAGCTTATATCATATCTAACATAATGATACATAATGATATAAAGTAATAAAATAATATCATAAAATAACAAAACACAAAAAGTCTCTATTCTGGCCCTGTGAGAGTGATGTTGGTCTTCATGATACTGTAGAGGCCGAAGACGTTACACATCTGTGAGGTGTCTAAATATTTACTATACAAAAATAATATAGAAATATACCACGTGAGTTTCTATCAAAATTTAAACTCACTCTTTCAAATTTCAAAAGATTATGAACGTGCAGTTATGACACCAGAACGATGTCACGCAGGTGAGAAGGTTAGTAATAACGTCCTGTGGCGCGGAACGTATTATATTAGGAGAACCAGACTTCGGAAATTGTCCAAAACAAGCAAGAGATCATCAAATAGTACTAAAATACATATTGTACTACAAATTGGGAATTTCTATCAGATACAAATATGTCATGAAACATTACAACAGTATAACAGTACAATGATTTACAATAAAATATAAAAATGATATACAGATATATGAAAAATAACACAATTAAGTATAAAAGTAAAAAATAATATCATTAGAAGCATTAAAAGATATAATATATTCCTTTATGTAGGCCTACGTATTAAAGGGACAGACGTGTCATTTTCTGTACAAAACGCATCTTAGTTTCGGAAACGGTTTTTTTAGTTAAGCTAGTCAGTGATTGTGTTCACAGCTCATTGTCGAAATTTGAACCTTCAAATCTATGTGTGTTCAGAATTATCTGCGATTAAATGTTAAGATATATTTGAAGAAAATAAGCGATTTTAATTCATTCTACCCTATTACTTCTATTTACTATTTAATTATACTCAAAACTCAAATCAACCCGCGAAAATGGCGAACATGACTTATTTCAATTGAATAATAACACAGGCGCAGAATTAGAATTAGAATTAGAATTAGAAGTAGAAATACAATACAATGCAATGCAATGCAATACACCATGGCTGTTTCAAATACTACAGGTTAATGTGGTTGTAGTTTTCAGCCGATTGAATGGGTTTGAAAGTCTTAGCTCCTTTGGATACAGAGTTATCGTTATTGACTTCAATGTGATTGTAAGTATCTGATTCTGAATTAGCTCCCTTTGACACAGAGTCATTGTTATTGACTTCAATGTGATTGTAAGTATCTAGTTCTGAATTAGCTCCCTTGGACACAGAGTAATCGTTATCCGGCATTGCTTTAGCTTCTTCGTATACAGAGTTGCCGTTCTTGATTCCAATGTGATTGTAAGTATCTGGTTTTGAATAAGCTCCCTTGGACAGAGAGCTGTCGTTCTTAATTCCAATGTGATTGTAAGTATCTGGTTCTGAATTACCTCCCTTGGACAAAGAGTTATCGTTATTGATTCCAATGTGATTGTAATTATCTGGTTCTGAATTACCTCCCTTGGACACAGAGTTATCGTTATTGACACTAATGTGATTGTAATTATCTGGTTCTGAATTAGCTCCCCTGGACAGAGAGTGT